TCAAATAAGTTTAAATGAAAATAATAGACAACAACTCATATTTACAAAAAGAAGGATGTTCCATTTTTTAAAAATAAAAAGGAGCCTCAAATTTAAAAAGGCGAGTAGTTCAGTGTTAATATAACAATAAGATTTTTCTCGTGTCTAAAAACTGAAACCAAGAATATTTTTTATGGATTTAAAGCCTAGAGCTTCAAATTTTAAAATACGAAGAAGTTCAATGTTTTTAGAAACTGTAAGAAGATCAAATTAAAAAAACATCTCAAACAATTTCATATAAAAGGGATTATCTTTGTTAAAAAACTTAGAAGTTTATTTTTAAAATACGGAATAGGTCGATGTTTATTAAGAAACTAGGATTTTTTTTCCGTTACTATAAGAAATAACACCAAGTCCAAATTGAAAAACCAAGAAGTTCAATTTTTAAAATAGAATACCTTAATGCATATGAAAAACCCAGATTTTCCTCGTTAGTAAATAATAAACCAAGAAGTTCAATTTCAAAAAGTGGAGTGGTTTGATATTTATTACAAAAACTCGAATTTTTCCCGTTACTAACAAAAAGATTCTTCTCCCCGTAGTTGTTATGCATCTACTATAGAAAAAATACGTCGACCGTAGAAGTTCACATATAGCTGGGAAGGAACAACTATAGCTCTCTCTATGGCACATGTTGTGTTTGGAGAGGCACGATTTTGATTTTGATTTTGGGCTTGGATGTACAAGGTGTATGATGAAGGTGAGACAACTACGTGAAGTCCATTTGGACATGTGAAATTCAGTGAGCCATATGAAAGGGAATAAGATCGTTTGTTTATTTGGCCCCCATTTGTACATCGGGTTATCTAATTTCTTGTTTTGTATTGTTTCATGAAGTTCAATAGTATGCATTGATGCAAAAATGTGCTTTTAGTATGTTGGTTTAATGTAAAAAAACAAAAAAATGTGAAGCCCCAAACAAGTTCAAAAACTACGACATAGAGACGTCCAAAACAACGAGAAGTTCAACTACTACACGAAATGCGTTTCAAATGAGAATAAAAAAGTTAGATCGGTTCGATGTCTATAAAAACTCAGATTTTTTACGTTACTAAAGAGAAGCAGAGAGAAGTTCAAATTGATAAGAGCCAGAAGTTCACGTACTACACTGTGTGCATTTTATATTAAAAAGAATGAAAAAGAAAATGCTAAAAAATTTGTTGCTAGAAGTTCAAGTGCTCTACCTGAGAAAGTTCAATAATTCTTGTGAGAGAGGTTGAACAAAAATACGTGACAAAAGTTCAGGTGAAAATAGCGGGAAGTTCAACTACTTCGTTTCAGAAGAGAATAAAAAAATACAAAACGAAAAGCCTAAAAGGTTTGTTGCAAGAAGTTCACGTGCTCCACCCTGCACGGTTCAAAAATTATATTTACGAGACGTCCGTCGTTCATTTACATGTTGTTTTAAAAAGCAAAAAACAACACTTTTTTGACATTTTAAAAACTGCTCTCAAACGGCAACGAATTTGTAACACATGTCTACATGAAAAACTTGTTGCGACTCATAAGCTTTCCACTGGGTATATTATGTGCCACATTCTGATGAACGGTTTAAATTTTTCATGTATTATAACGCCCTCGATGCGGCTATGTCTCCCACATGTCGAAGCACGATGTAGAGGCATAACCGCATTGAAAGCAATGTCGCAAGTGAGGTAATCTTCACACAACCCAAGTAATACAATATGGGAAAAAGATACATAGTTGGCTTACAATCGCCACTTCACACAAATACATAAATAAAGCATTACATCAACCAGTTACAAACAAGGCCCGACTACGGAGCCAAAATAAAAGAAGAACCCCAAATGCGACAAGGTCCCCGATCGACCCCAACTGGGCTCCACTACTGATCGACTAGAACGGAACAACACAAAGGACAAGATCTTCATCGAGCTCCTCCTTGAGCTTGGTTGCGTCACCTGCACGGACTCATCGGCACCTGCAAGCTGGTTTTGGAAGTATCTGTGAGCCACGGGGACTCAGCAATCTCACACCCTCGCGATCAAGACTATTTAAGCTTATGGGTAAGGTAAAGGTATGAGGTGGAGCTGCAGCAAGCGACTAGCATATATGGTGGCTAACATATTCGCAAAAGAGAGCGAGAAGAGAAGGCAAAGCACGATCGAGAAACTATGATCAAGACGTGATCCTAGAACAACCTACGTCAAACATTACTCCAACACCGTGTTCACTTCCCGGACTCCGCCGGAAAGAGACCATCACGGTAACACACGTTGTTGATTCATTTTAATTAAGGTCAACTTCAGGTTTTCTACAACCGGACGTTAACAAATTCCCATCTGTCGATAACCGCGGGCACGACTTTCGAAAGTTCAAATCCCTGCAGGGGTGTCCCAACTTAGCCCATCACAAGCTCTCACGGTCAACGAAGGAATAGACCTCCTCCCGAGACATTCCGATCAGACTCGGTATCTCGGTACAACAAGACATCCTCGACAATGGTAAAACAAGTCCAGCAAGACCACCCGATGCGCCGACATCCCGATAGGAGCTGCACATATCTCGTTCTCAGGGCAACACCGGATAAGCAATCCGTACAACTAAAACCAGACCTCGAGTTTCCCCGAGGTGGCGCCGCAAGGGGCTCTAGTTTGGACCAACGCTTAGACAAGCACTGGCCCGGGGGGGTTAAAATAAGATGACCCTCGGGATGCGTGACTCCCAAGGGAAAAAGGCTAGGTGGCAAATGGTAAAACCAAGGTTGGGCCTTGCTGGAGGAGTTTTATTCAAAGCAAACTGTCAAGGGGTTCCCATTATAACCCAACCACGTAAGGAACGCAAAATCTGGGAACAAAACACCGATATGACGGAAACTAGGGCGGCAAGAGTGGAACAAAACACCAGGCATAAGGCCGAGCCTTCCACCCTTTACCAAGTATATAGATGCATTAAATTAAATAAGATATATTGTGATATCCCAACAAGTAACCATGTTCCAACAAGGAACAACATCTCCATGTTCCAACAAGGAACAAACTTCAATCTTCACCTGCAACTAACAACGCTATAAGAGGGGCTGAGCAAAGCGGTAACATAGCCAAACAACGGTTTGCTAGGACAAGGTGGGTTAGAGGCTTGGTTCAACAATATGGGAGGCATGAAAAGCAAGTGGTAGGCATCGCAGCATAGGCATAGCAAAAGAGCGAGCAACTAAGCAAGCAAAGATAGAAGTGATTTCGAGGGTATGGTCATCTTGCCTGAGATCCCGCAAGGAAGAAGAACGAGTCCATGAAGAAGACAAACGGATGTAGACGAACGAGTCCTCACAAACGCGACGTTACCGGAACCAACCCGACGAAGCAAAAACCAGAAAGAAGCACACAACATAGTAAACAACTACAACACAATCATGGCATGATGAACAATCAAGTATGAGGCTTGTCCGGTTTAATGAAGCATGGCATGGCAAAGTGCACAAGCAACCCTACAAATTAAGTGGAGCTCAATATGCAACGGTGCATATTGACGAAACACCACGATAAGTTATTCAGTTCGATCTCGTTTATGTACCCAACAATATTAAATGTTGATTAACATGGCAAGGGGTGAAGCACAACAAAACTACCTATCTAGGCATGTTTAAATGAGGCCGGAAGGAACGAACAACAATTCCGGAAAATCCTCATATGCATAATTTAAGGTTTGGTACTGTTCTACCCTAAACATTATTTTAGAGTTGTTAAACATGCAAGACAATTAGACCATGTTAAACTAGGAAAAATTCCACCCCATTTACATATAAAGTTTATTAAATTCAGAGTTACGGTTATTTAGTTATGAAATAAATCATTTTAGCATGGCGTAGGGGCAAATTTAAACAAACATCATTTTAAACATTTTGAACATGGATGAAAGTGACATATTATGAAACTAGACACAATTTTAAGCATTTTTCATATATAAAATTTTTACATGTGATGCACCGGATGAGAGGAATGAAATGCATGAAGTTTAAGGGTTGATCTGCAAAAGTGCAAATCCCTGGAAATGGATAAAATCACAGCTAAGGAAAAAAAATACTACAGGCCAGATTAGCTGGATCTGGGCTGCTCACG